AATATTCTATGCACTGTGAGAATTGTATATGTATCTGATTTTTTTTTTGAAAACATTCAGTGAGGATTGAAATATATCTACAGAAAACAACTTTCGATTGTACAGATTTTTCATTCTATGTAGTGGTGAATTTTCTCCTGCGTTTGCATGACAAAATGATACAGAAAATAAAGTATTGTTAGGTCTGAGAAAACGTGAAGGGACATGAATTGAGATTTTTGACAATAGATCTGGAGCGTCAGATAAATTATTTAAAACTTTATACAAAAAGAATATATCAGATTGTTCTCGACGAGCCTCTAATGAATAGAACTGAAACTGTTCCCTAAGTCTACATCTGCTTGCCAAGTGATTATAAGTACCATTAACCTTGTCCATAAATCTCAAAAATTTGTTTTGAATCAACTCTAATCTGTTCTTATGCACAGCATACTGAGGATTCCACACAACCGTTGCGTAATTAAGTCTGCTGTAGACATAAGAATAAAATAATGCTTTTAATGCTTGAATGGAATTGAAGTTTTTACTTTGTCTTAATATGAATCCTAAGGTTTTGTTACTTTTCGTTACAACATAATCGATATGTTCTGAGAATGTCATCTTTCTGTCGAAAACGACACCAAGATCATTTTATCCACTTTCTTCAAAATGGTGTTATTGAAATTATAATCGTATGAGAATATATTGATATTTTTAGTAAACGAGATGAAAAAACATTTGTTCAAATTGAGAAATATTTTATTTACGATACAATAATCATACAAGCGATTTAGGTCACGTTGAATTAAAAGGTTATCGACTGGACTTTTGACAGATGCAAATATTTTCAAATCGTCCGCAAAAAGTAGAAATTTACAAGTTTCAAATGATGACGTGATGTCATTTAAATAAATCAGAAAAAGTAGGGGCCCTAAATGTGATCCTTGTGGCACACCTGAATTGACAATATAAGAATTAGATTCGTATCCATTAGCTATAACAATTTGTGACCGATTAAATATATATGAAGCAAACCAACGGAGCAGATCACCGTGTACACCAATCTCAGACAATTTTGACATCAATATGTTGTGATTAATTTTGTCGAAAGCTTTGCTGAAATCCGTGTACACGGCATCCACTTGGGTTTGGCAATCCATTGCAGATAAAATAAATTCATTGTATAACGTGAGGTTAGTTTCAATGGACCTTTTCGGAATGAAACCATGTTGTTCAGGAATGATACATTCTTTAACTTTATAAATTAGCATTTTGTGTACAATTAGTTCAAGTAATTTACTTAGTATATTTATTTTGCGAATCGGTCGGTAATTACTTATGGAACATTTTTCACCATTTTTGAAAATCGGAACTACGTATGCCTCTTTCCATTTTTTCGGAAATGTACATTCGTCAAAGGATCTGTTGAATATAATGGTAAGGGGAACATATAAACTGGATGCACAGTTTTTGATAAAAAATGATGGAATACCATCAGGACCACAGCCTTTATTTTCATCGAGCTTGCAAAGAATGTCGTGAACTTCATTTTCTGTAACGTAGATTTTGTTAATCAGGCACTTGTCTGTTTTCGAAAAGACTTGTAATGTTTGATCGTAAGGTTGAAATACACTTCTGAAAAATTTAGAGAAAAGGTCACAAACTGCAGCACCGTCTGCAGATTGATCATCTAGTTTCATTGAATTGGGTAGACTATCATTTCTATTTTTTGCTATGAGTGCTCATATCGTCCAACCGCGACATGTTCGCTGAGGACGAGTGTACATACATAATAATACTATTACTACTAATGTTCATTGATTGTTTTTTAATTTTATCATAAATGTCATTGAATTCGGCCATAAAAAATAGGCGAGTCGTCTGACTCATAAAATAGTATGACAGAAATTTGGTAGTCAATCGGAGAATCGGATGTTTTTCCTTGTTCATCGTTCGTATATATCTGTTATGAGGATGATAATTATCGATGAAATATTCCTATTCGAAAGTTAACCGCAAATAAATTCCGTACACACATATATCATATCAAGAAGAAAGAAGCTCAGTTGGAATAAGTCCGATTTGTAATCAGGTGATAGCGGGGACCGGGGTTCGAATCCTGTGGCAGTCGTCTTTTTTTATTTTAATGTATCAGCAGACATGTACTGGCCCTGATGACGGTCAGAGTGTGTCCTATCGGTACTGGCTCATCAATGTTCAAGGGAATTTTGCCGTTCTGGCCAATTCTGGTTTGCATATTATGGGCCAGCATAAGTCCGACCAACTATGTTTGCTAGGTTCACTTCATTTCATTCTTCATCTGTCGTTCCTTACCTTTTTCTCAGTCATGAGGTGAGATGAAATATAGCGTGTCCTTGATAATACTGCTTTATTTTGTGACCTACCGTTTCAAAGTGATTGTTGTTAACAACAACAACAACATTTTTATGAAAACATTTTAGCTTCATTTGTGTTTATGTTTTTGTATGTAATTGTGTATATCGAAATCCGCGACATTTCACTCGAAAGGATAGACAACTCGATTCTCGAGATGTTACAAGGTAGTTTTCAGCTTGCTTGGGAGTCTTCGCTACGCTCGAATTCAATAAAATTTACCCGAAAATAACCACCGTGCGATAGAATGAGATGCAGCCAACAAATAATCCGTGTGGTGAGGATTATGCCTCTTGTATAAATCTGTTTTATCCATAAGTTCGCAAGAAACATGATTATTATCATTCCAAATAGAGTGAAGTACGTGCCTATTAAGCCAAAGGTCCAGAGTTCGAAACCCGTGCCCCACCTATTTTTTTTCTTTCTTCGAACTGTTTAATTGAAAGATAAAAACTGTGGGGGCATTTACTGTTGGGGCCTATAGTGATCGAAGCTCACGCAAGGAATTTTCTATAGTGCTTCCGCATGTTTTTTTTATCGCTTGGAGCGAAGGGAATCCCTATAATGTTCAAAGAACATCGTGCGTTCCTAGGGAGGATAGGGACAGGAGGTAGGTATTGGAATTTTTTTTGAACTTCTGGAGATTATATGTTGCACCCTGTTTCTTTTGCGTTCTGTCTCTAGATGCTTCCATTCGGGTATTATTGAATTCGTGCCTTTAATACGCTGTGCGAGGCTTGTGAATCTGTTTATTATCAATAAATCGTTAACAGTCTTGATATAAAATGAAATGATTCTACTCAGTGTCGAGTTCAGTGTCTCTATACCGTATAAAGATTTGAGGCCGAATATGATAACTGGTAGAACCTCGGGTAGAACTTACAAAATGATTGTCACCTGGCAACAGTGCTGAAGTGCCAATGCCGAGACGAATGCTAACGCAGTCGGCCGCAGCGTTGCCGCATCAAACCAGTGGATCTCAAACCATGGTGGATAAAATCACACAAATTTCGAAACATTTTTGACTGCTTCAAAAACATTTTGTTTTGCCACTTTTTATTTCATCATGATTCATGCAACACCCCATTTCAAGGATCGCCCCAATTTCAGAAACACCTTGTACCTACATATTCTTGGGTGTATTAGAAAGGACATAGGATAAGTTTTATATAGAAAAATATGGCGAGTTGAAAAAAATATTTCGGCAGACTGATTGTTGGACACAAAATTTCTATCAATCAGACATAAAACTCTAAACTTCGGTAAGTACCTTAGATATTGATTTTTAGAATACCTCTTTTAAGACTTGTAAGTCTCGGATTATTTAGATGATGACATTGAAATGACAAATATGTAACCTAACATCAGATGAGCACTTCGAAGGCCCGAATTCATTACTGCATGGGATATACCCTTCAGATTTTGTTGCTATCCAGTGACTTGACCACGAATGACATTGACGTTTTAGTCTTATTTTTTTTATCGCTTAGAGCGCACGAAAGGGAATCCCTATAATGTTCAAAGAACATCGTGCGTTCCTAGGGAGGATAGGGCCAGGAGGTAGGTATTGGAATTTTTTTTGAACTTTTGGAGATTATATGTTGTTGGGAATACTTCCACAGGCAATGAATTCCAGAGCCTAGCCGATCTATGGATGAAGGAGTCCTGATAAAGTGCTGTTCGACATCTTTCGAGGTTGACAACGAAAGGATGTGCTGACTGGGCTTGTCTAGTTCGTCTGATTGGTATTGCTAGTGAAGGGATGATAGCAGAGATTTTCGAAGAACATTTCCCGTGGAAGTATCGATAGAAAAGTGAAAGGTCGCCGACCTTTCTACGGTGTTCCAATGATGTCAAAGAGTGAGTGAGTGTGGCGTCACCCACCAGGCGAATGCCTCTTCTCTGGATGGAATCTAAGAGCATCAGCGTATGTTTTGGTGCTGAACCCCATATGTGGGAACAGTATTCTAGAACAGGCCGTATCTGCGCTTTGTAGATCATGAGAAGCTGTTGAGGTGTAAAGTAGTTTCTTATGCGCAACCACCAAAATGCACGAATTCAATATTACGTGAATTGGTCCATCTGGACAGGGAGCAACAATTTACTGTTGGGGTCGATATAATGATATTCCATTGTATGTGGTGATGTTTGAATCTTTGATATTCATTTGAGGGCTTCAACGCGAGCGAAGCTGCGGTTGAAAGCTAGTCAAATTATTAATCAATAATCAGCTTTCGTTTTTCACATACATGATGCCAACCACATAGCTCGAACCCGAACCCACAACTAAAAAAAATTTTGTTTGTTCTAAAATTTGTTCTATCCGTCATTGAGTATTGTTATCGTTCAACCATGTACAACAATATACTTGCCGCTCGGTATTCAATCTATTATCATCTTCTTTATACAGGGGTAAATCAACACACCACCCAACAGTGATATTTCAACGGTTCATCGCTATTTTGAAATGGAATTGCGTATCGGCGTTTTGTGTGCATTGGTTTCTTGTGTTTGTGATATTCATTACAACTTTGTGAATTCTGATTTTATATATATTATTTCCACAGTCTCCAACATGCTTATTGATTAATTCTCTACAATAATTTTATCGATGTATTGTTACATACCTCAATACAGAAAATACTCTGGCCATCTTCCCGATGGCTCGAATCTTGTTTCTAATAACTTCTTTCCGAAGATTTGCTGCTGTGCCTAGAAACAAAGAGAAGAGATCATTAGATATATAATTATATATATTGAAGTATAATAGTCAATTGCAAAAGTGATTCCAGAAGGACTTTATATTAGGACTTTCAGGAGTCTGGGTCAAGACTCTCGAATTTAAATAAATACATACAAAAACTCGAACCCATTTTCACAAATATTCATAAAATGAAGAGAAATAACTACCTGGCTACCCTAATAGCACAATCATGTTCGATGTATATCCTCAGAAAGACCTACTGGGACATTCAGGACGTCCATAGGACGTTCGAATTTGGCACGTCAGACGTCCATTAACCATGATAATAAGAAAACAAAATATCAGTCGTCATGATTACCGGATTAAAACTTCTTCATAGCCATGTATGAGTGTATGACTGGCTACATTATTATGCAAAAAGAAGAAAAAGGCACAAACAAACCAACAACTATAAATTTTTTTATTTACTATTTGTTTGTCATCATATTCATGTCGGATTTGTGAATATTTTTGCAAAGAAATATTAATAAAAAATTGATGATAGGCTCAATCAACATTCAACAGCCTCAGAATAGCCGTCAATTATGTTAGATTCGTTCTGATAGATCGACAGTTGAGCTATCAAAACCCAGGATTTTTTTGAAACACAATATGCAAAAAAATCGGCAATCGGCTAGGATTGAGGCCTTGAATTAGCCTCAAACGGCCTACAAGAAGCCCTCAATACTGTGTACAGATGGTGCGAGAGGGAGCAGATGTCTGTGAACCCCCGGAAAACTGTAATCATCCCTTTTACCAAAAGGCAAAAGCTAGATAAGCTTCGTCAGCCTGTCCTATATGGAGAGAGCATTCCGTTTGCGACGGAGGTGAAATATCTAGGGGTCACCCTAGATAAAAGACTCACCTGGAACGCCCATATCGCAAAAACTATTAACAAAGCCAGATTTTACCTCTGGAACCTCAGAAGGGTATGCGGCAAATCATGGGGAATGAACCCCAAACAGATTTACTGGATTTACCAAACAATGGTAAAACCAATGGTCACGTATGGCTCGGTAGTCTGGTGGACTAAAGGTCTGCAGGGAACAGCCAGGGCAAAGCTTGCTGGTCTCCAGCGGCTGGCGTGCCTGGCCATTACAGGGGCGATGTCCTCTACTCCAACGGCAGCGATGGAAAACCTCCTGAACCTCACTCCCCTCCACATTGTCTTGGAGAGGGAAGCCAGGATGGTTTCCTACAGATTCCTGTCATTGGAAAATCAAATCAGAGGGGGGCGACAGCTGGACCACTCCGGGATACTGTGTGAAACAAAAAATCACCAAACTCTAGGAATGGTTTCCGACATGTTGGCCACTCAGACACACGTGAAAAAGAATTTCAAAGTCCTCTTCCCGAAGAGAGACGAATGGGCAAGCGGATCAGTCCGATTCCCAGAGACCGAACACGTAATGTACACAGATGGTTCGAAAACCCCTCGTGGAGTGGGAGCCGGTGTGTTCAGCAGAAAACCGAAGACGGAAATTTCCGTCAATCTCGGCAAATATGCTACAATCTTTCAGGCGGAGGTATTCGCAATTGCATTGTGTGCTAGAGAGTTGTCGAATAAACCTCTAGTAAACAAAAATATCAGTATTGTATCAGACAGTCAGGCTGCTCATAAAGCACTGAGCTCCAGCAAGATAAATTCCAAGCTTGTATGGAGCTGCATTGAATCCCTAGAAAGCCTGGGTGCTAACAACAGAGTCACTTTGCTGTGGGTGCCTGGACACCAGGGGGTGGAGGGTAACGAGAAAGCCGACATCCTCGCCAAACAGGGAACCGAATCTGTGTTCATAGGACCAGAACCATATTTTGGGGTCACCGCTAGTGCGGCGAAAACAACTATCTCGGGCTGGGCGGAGGGAAAAACACTCACGTACTGGTCCGAATTACCAGGATTAACCCATTCGAAGGCGTTCCTGCCTAAACCATCGGAAAAAATAACCAGGCAGATCCTAGAATGGAGCAGGGGTAACCTGCGAATTCTGACTGGACTGCTTACGGGACACTGTCGTCTAAGATACCACCTGGGAAGGATGGGTCTGAACCAACAAACGGACTGTCGATTCTGTTGTGTGGAAGACGAAACGGCTGAGCACATATTATGTTCATGCTCTAGCTTAGAAAGACTAAGGTTCGACACATTTGGCTTTACCAACCTAGAACCTATCGATTTCAGACAAATCTCACCCAATTCAACCATGAACTTTGTAAAAAGATGTGGATTGTACGGTGAACTGTAACCTCTAGGGGTGAGCCACAATAGACCCATCTGGGGTCGCAGTGGAGGGGAGGTGTTCGCCCCACTCACATGGAACCTAACCCAACCTAGCCTACATTTTATGGTATAATCAGTTTCGTGATTAAACTTTTCATCGATTTGTTTGCCATATTCATGTTGCATTTTTGAAGATTATTGCAGGTAATGATCAACAAAAAATTCGACGATAGGATCAACAGATAGCCTTAACTTGAATGATGGTAAAATGAACATCCTTATATTCCCTCTGTTAGCTTAACGGTTGAGCTAGAAACCCATAAATTTTTCCAAGAAATAATTTACGAAAAAATTGGCAATAGGCTAGGATTGGAGCCTTGAATTGCGGTATTGTCAGTTTTGTCATTTATTTACGTAGTGATACTGCTACAGCTTAATGGAGGTAAATAAATGGAATGGAAACACATATTCAAAATGGACTTGAATCTGCGATATTCATGAATAAATAATTCACATGCACGATGAATAGCAAAAAAGCAATATCATGGTAAAAATCTGATGTATTGGGTGCCACCTTATACAGTATCACCTCCTGTAAATCTTCAAATTTTGACAGTAAAAGTAGAATGATGAAACAGACTCACAGGGTATTTTTCTCCTTCTCGGAACATAAGGAACATTTTCACTATCTGGAAATATACAGTGTCATTCATAAAGTCGGCATCATATGGGAAAAACTTTTATTGATGACTTATTTTGAAATTCGAGTTTGACGTTGAGTTTTGCTTCAAAAAAGATGGAAAATGGCCTACTCAATCGGGGTCACGTGACTTTCCCTACATGTCAAAAGTGACATTTTTTCAAATTAATCGCTGAAAGTAGGCTTATTTGTTCGAATATCGGAAAAGTTTACTTGAAAAAGTTGTTTCTATTCAAATTTTACATATGTGACTCGGATTTTATCTTTCTATTACATTTTTTAGATTTCGATATTTTTTGAAAATTTTCGAAATTTCTGTAATATTAAAAAAATTGTGAATTCGATAAAACTACTTCATACCAGTAGTTTCATCATGCTACTAACTTTCAATTACTAATTATCACTAATTATCGACAAAAATATGATTTTCTTCAGTCAGAAAATGATAATCTCCGCTTCAAAATTCTGTTATGTTTGATGCAAACATAACATCAAAATTCTGTTACGTTTGAGTCAAACATTTAGAAACGAAATTCATTTAAATTTTTTTTAGTACTGAAAAGATCAGTTTAAATTAATTTCGTTTCTAAATGCTTGACGATATCAACTTTGCATCAAACATAACAGAATTTGTAATCGGGTATTATCATTTTCTGAAGAAAATCACATTTCTGTCCATAATCAGTGATAATAAGTAATTGAAAGTAAGTAGCATGAAATAGCTACTGGTATGAAGTAGTTTCGTGGAATTAACAATTCTTCAAATATTACAGAAATTTCGAAAAATTAAAAAAAAAAATCAAAATCTAAAAGTTGCAATAGAAAGATCAAATTTGACAATAATGTGTAAAATTGGAATAGAAACAACTTTTTCAAGTAAACTTTTTCGATATTCGAACAAATAAGCCTACTTTCAGCGATTAATTTGAAAAAATGTAACTTTTGACATGTAGCGAGTCACGTGACCCCGATTGAGTAGGCCATTTTCAATCTTTTTTGAAGCATAATTTAACGTCCACCTGGAATTCCAAAATAAGTCATCAATAAAAGTTATTCCCATATGATGCCGACTTTATGAATGACACTGTATACAGGGAGCCACAAAAATGTATGAATTTTTATTGAAATACCCTATATAATCACTATTCCAAATTTTTTTGGGATTTTCTCTCCTCGTTTATATGAAATGAAAATATGAATATTGATTCAATATACGTGTAGTAACGACAAATCAGATGATGTGCCTCAAAATTTCACTGCGTCTCAGAATTTTCCTATTACAGATCCTGAAAGAAAAATTCACTAGCTTGTCAGTGACAATTTGAATTGAAAAAAGGTTTGGAGAAGAAAAGTAAAGGTATATATAGAAAAAATATCTAATTTCCACTCAGCTTTGGACGTTTTGGGAAAGAATCTGCTCCCGTTTTCAACATTAAAAATGGATATTTGTATAGCAAATTCGTATTCGTCTTGACACTTCCCGAAACGTCCAAACCTAATTGAAATTTCGATATTTTTTCTATATATATACGTACCTTTATTTCTCTTCTCCGAACCTTTTTCATTAAAAATTGTCACTGATAGTAAATTTTTCTTTAAGGATGTCTGAAAGGATTTTTTTTTTATATTGAAATGAAATTTTTATTTTATAGAAACGTGGAGAAAATCTCGAGAAATCTGGAATAATGAATGTACCACCTCCACGATTAACCTACAGACGGTATTTAACACCTTAAATATAGTTGCTTCTTCGAAGAGCATTCCAAAAATAATGCACTTATGTTCCTTATTCATTTCTCAATTCATGAGCATTCAAAACTAACAGAGTTTGAAAGATTTTCGAAAGAACGTCATGACAATGATTGCAAATTCAGGTACATTCAGTAGGAATACTATATAGGTACTTCAAAAAAATCGGGTTATACATCGTTAGCTTCGCGGTCGGATTATTATGTTGAAGTGACACGATTTGTAATTATGCAGGAAGTTTGAGATGTATAACCATGAATAGTTTGAAGTTCGAATTGTATAGGTTGCGTGCAGGATGACCG